TTTTTTTTTTTTTTTTTTTTTTAAAGAAGATTTGAAAACATCTGAAAAACATGCAAATTGTTTGAAAATCCTGCATGGCAAATTCAGACAGTTTGCAGGCGTCATTCAGATGTTTGCCAAGGAAAATACAGACCTCTCCCCGTGAGACTGCACATGGGAGGCCCTCCCCATTCTCTCTATCTTACACTGGATGGCAACCCAGAGGTCTGTGCAGCAGTCACAAACAAGGTGTTGTTATCTGGAAGGGAAGGGACCGTGGAATTTCCATTGGTTGGAGAACAACCCAGCTTTAGTTTTTCCAGATACTCTGCATGTACAGGCTTATGACACTGGAGAACTTTGATGGCATCTTCTACTTTGAACCATTCTCTCTTCCTTCCTAGAAAACAGTATGACATTGGTCAGTATATAGTAAAGTCACTTAAAAAAACTAATAAGCCACATCCTTTGACAATGCCCCTCACTCCTCTCCTACAAATAACAGCTTTATTGTTTTTTGGAATGGCTTAGACAATAAATAATATGTTGGGGGAAGAATTTTGATGTAATTCAAATGTGGACATACTGATCTTATTAAAAAAAGGTAACCCAAAATAATTTAAGACGAAAACTCTACAAGCGCGTAGTAGCAGAATTAAGACTCTGGATGGCAAAAGGAAAGGGAACTTACCTATATTAACAGAATCTTCCCAATCTTCTAATATTTCAGTGACAGTAAGAACATACACATACGTTCTGTGCTTTCGGTCTTGGTTCTGCTTGAATATAAAAAGAAAAGCATTTTAATCTACAGGAACTAGCCATTACACATCTCCGAGGAGAAAAATTCAGTTGTGGCATACTGCTGACTAGCACATAGTCAAGCATACACGGTTGTCTAACCCAGTACAGAAGGGAGTTTTCTGTAACACAAAACATTTAAAATGCTGAAATTAGCTCCCCATAGGAAACATTTAGCACCTTTGATTTCAATGTATGTGTTTTTTAAGAGACTAATTCAATTAAGTATTGGCAGTTTAAAAGCTGCCAGGTGAACTATGCACAACCAGGGTTGAGAATGGGCTAGTCATTTCTGGAATGTTTTAGTCCTATATGCTGAAACTCAATTTTTTACCCATATTAAAACTGCCACCTTGTGAAATTAAACATGAGTTGGTCTTAAAATGAAGGGGCTCACTTCTTTCATCTCGATTTAAGTTAGCCTCGTTTACTATGGTCTAGGACTTCAGATTGTTGCCTGAGTTTTTTAATTTCCTTTTTTAATGTTTATTTATTTTGAGAGGGGAGAGCCAGGAGGGGCAGAGCTAGAGGGAGAGAGAATCCCAAGCAGGCTCCTGGCTGTCAGTGCAGAGGCTGACACGAGCTCCATTTTACAAGCTGTAAGATCATGACCTGAGCTCAAATCAAGAGTCAGACCTTAACCAACTGAACCACACAGGTACCCCCCCCCCCTTTTTAAAGTAAACTTTCTACATCCTACGTGGGGCTTGAACTCATGGCCCTGAGATCAAGAGTCATGTGCTCTACTGACAGGTAGCCAGGTTGCCTGATAATTGCCCCGATTTTTTCCACCACAGACAACCTGAGTAATACACTCAATTCAAATAGTGTATTAGGTCTTTGGGAAGGAATAGGAACAGCAAAAAATGAGAGGCATCTCTCACATAAAACATTACTAGTCGGGGCGCCCATGTGGCTCAGTCGGTTAAGCGTCCGACTTTGGCTCAGGTCGTGATCTCTTGGTCCGTGAATTTGAGCCCCGTGTCGGGCTCTGTGCTGACAGCTCAGAGCCTGGAGCCTGTTTCAGATTCTGTGTCTCCCTCTCTCTCTGACCCTCCCCCATTCATGCTCTGTTTCTCTCTCTCTGTCAAAAATAAAGAAAAATGTTAACAAAAAATTACTAGTCATTAAGAACCCATTGTCTTATCTCTGTATCTGGAAAATAAATACATTTATTATTCTATGTTCAAAAATTCATTGAAATCACCAGAGTGAATAGGCAGGACAATTCTAATTTTCCCTTATATCTTCTAAGGAGAAAGGTACGTTGGTTACTATTTTCTGTTCAGATTCTATGAAATGTAAATAGCACTTGTAAAGCAGTTAATACTATTATCTATGTTATAAAAGCTTTATTTATAATGTGAGACGTTTTCTTCAAAAATCTTACCAGCATATTGACAATGTGCTATTTGTACCATGGCTATTCTGAATTACAGAAAACCTTCAATGTATTTTTCATTTCAACCAGGAGATGGTGCTGTTCAATTGGGTAAGGCAAGTGCTGAATTCTGGGAAAGTCTGAATATTAAGAACTTCACTACTAACACTGTATTCTGGGAGTCATCAATTCTACCAAGTGCTCCACAATCTGAATTTCTGAATTCTGTAAAAAGCCTTAAAAATCAAATTTATATGGTTCTACCAGAAGGACTGAACGAACCCTTAAATATTATCTTGAAAAAATATGTCACGATGTGTCAGGTATACAGGTATACCATGTATCTATGTCTGACTCTTGGAAGAAAATACATTTGAGAATAGTTTGGGTCTCATGACCTGACTACTTTTCTCCTTACCTTCCACAGAATACCTGCCAATTCCAAATTCCTTCCACAAATTCCATTCTGCCTTCAGTAATAATAGATTATACAGGAAAATTCTATGCTGTTAGCATCTATTCTTTGTATCTTGAGTTTTTTACCTTCATACAGTCCTCTAAGGATTAAGTCATTATTTGTGTATCATCTACATGTTATGCACTAAAGGCACAGGGTACATTTCCAGACAGTATCCACAAGAGACCTAAGTCCTTCCGTGATACTGAGGACACTGTACCTCCTAAAAAGTTTATACCTAAACAATATACAGTGAACCAAGAGATCTGTCTTTCTCTATCAGCTCCACTGTATTGTCATATATGAAAGTAATTGTAATGCTGCATAAAACTGATGGCACATCAAAGGTAATTTTTACTTCCCTTCCCCCTAATCCTCATAACTTACTTGCTTACTGATAAAAGGAATGTCTAACTTGGGCTGCTGCCAGATTATCTGGCCAGTTAGGAAAGAATCATTAATTCTGTTATCAGCAAGGATTACTTTTGTAACTCACCTCAAATATGCCCAGGAGTCTGCCTAATTTTCCTTTGACTCCAGCCTATTATAAAAAAGATGCAATGTAAAACTGTTAGCTTTCATAAAAGGTTACACGAACGTTATTTTCTAGCTATTTCAACTCAAGGGTATAAACACAATAGGCCCTTCCATACCAACCCTGCGTCTGTGAAGGTTTTTTGGCTATGCCAAGATTCATGACCTATGGTTTGCTATACAACATGGTTTAATTTATTCCATATACAAGTTCAGACTGATCAGATTTGTTGTCATTTATTTTGTAAGAAATGACAGGGATTGACCAAAAATTAGACTTTCTACCAATCTGGGACAAGCTTCACGAATGAAAACAGACTTTTTTTCTGAACTGATCAATCCCCTTCTTACTTAAAGGACTGTCTTTCTTGCTTGCTTTTTTCACATGGCTCAGGAGGTACAATTCTTCCTATAGGTTACTCTCCTACTGCAGTCCTCATTACTTTACCGGGACTGGGACAGGCAACAGACTGACGGGAACTGCAGTGTGAGCCCACGCCGATCCACACTGCATCAGTGCCCGCTGCCGCCTCTATCTAGGGACGCGCTCTTCCCTTAGAAAGCTGCTCATCCTTCGAGACCCATCTCTCTGAAACCTCTCCAGCTACACACCAAGACCCAACGGGAGCATTAGCATGTGCTTCCCATATACACCCTCACTGCTGTTCAGTAACTCTTACGGCACTTAATATGCTGTTTTGTCTCTGAGTAGAAAGCAAGTTCTATCATCAACTATAAGAAGACAAGCAGGCCGTGTATGCTTTTGTGCATGTGCGTGTGCACCACTTTTTACTGAACTTTAAGACAAAACGAGTAGAATAAAAGCAATTTGCTTCTTACTCATTTGAAAAAATTACAGCACACGATTCATGTCTCTGAGCATTCTTGCAGTGCATTGCAGTGTAATATTTATTAACCTTGCTCTGAGACAGGGCCATCCTGTTCTACATCGATCACTGATCAGGCTGATTGCCTGTTATACAACTGCATGTTACACAATTCTGGGGGACTTCTACATTCATTTTTAGCTCTCTTTTAGCAGGCTTAACAAATACCTGCTTAACAAAATGCTAGCTATGGTCACCCGCTTAAAAATCTTCAGTCAGACAACAAAAAGAGCACTCATGTGACCTGCCTTGCCTCCTTCTCAGTGCACGTAGCCAAAGTGCCACAGGGAACACACCGTAACATCTCAAAATACGGTGTGTGTGAAAGGAGAGCAAATAAGCTGCTGCTACTCGTCTCACCTCTTCATAAACTTCCCTGACGGCAGCACCACCAGGTTCCTCCTCTGGCTCCATTCCTCCTCCCGGGACAATCCATTGGTCTGGGTACCGACTGCTGCTCACCAACAGCACCTGCAAGACCAACCGCGAGTGTAGGCCCCACAGCCTGCGAAGCACTACGGACGTAACATTCTCAACCCTTTACAAGGCTGGAAAGCCCTTCCTGATTAGCCCATTTGTAATTTCATTAAAATTAGTAGGTGTACACATTATACCACAAGAAAGCGCAGTTGACAGCCTTTGTAAACACTCTTGGAATTCCGAATTCAACAATAATGTAATCACACCACGAAATCATTCTGAACCTAATGAAATCACTTCAACTACCAGATTCAGTTAGTAAAATTCCCTAAATCATGGATACCAATGAAAGATAAAAGTGGATACTTGGGTTTACTAGCCCCAGAACTGCGTGCACTTAGGTTTGTGGTCATATCTGCTATTCGTGAGTTACAGAATCTTATTCTTCCGCTCCCAATCTAAGGATATGTGACCCTAGGCAGGTCACCCTGTTCTCACCTATAAAGAGTAAGGATACCTAAAAGATAACAGATACTGTGAAAAAGGAATAGGGGAATTCATTAAGTCAATGCTTGGTAGATAGAGAGTTCTTGTTATTTTTACACTTATGATTAGGTGGGAAGAAGTACCCTTCATATTCCAAACTTCTATAAATGGGTAAGAGTCACTTCTTTTGATAGCAGGCAGCTATAATTTATGATCTAGGAGAGACGGCAAGCTACAGTTGAGTGCATTGCTTGTCTTGTACAGTCTGAGCTAAAAATGGTTTTTATATTTTTAATTATATGAAATTCAAATTCCACTGTTCATAGATAAAATTTTATGAGAATCCAGCCACACTCATTCATTTTTCACATGTTGCCTATGGCTGCTTTTTTTTTTTTTTTTTCAACGTTTTTTATTTATTTTTGGGACAGAGAGAGACAGAGCATGAACGGGGGAGGGGCAGAGAGAGAGAGGGAGACACAGAATCGGAAACAGGCTCCAGGCTCCGAGCCATCAGCCCAGAGCCTGACGCGGGGCTCGAACTCACGGACCGCGAGATCGTGACCTGGCTGAAGTCGGACACTTAACCGACTGTGCCACCCAGGCGCCCCAGCCTATGGCTGCTTTGATGCTGTAACAGCGAGTTAGGTAGCTGTGACAGAGGCTGCATGGTCCACAAAGCCTAAAATACTATCTGGCCCTTTATAAGAAAAGTCTGCAGACCCCAATCGAGAATAGCATTAACCTTTAAATTTGCAAATGCTTTTTAAAAAACAAACATTACCACAGAGTATCCTAGAGGTTCACTACTTAAACAGTACCTGAAACAAGTATTATATACCCATCTTCTACATGAAAATTTGTGGGCTAGGTTAGGTTGAAATGCACCCAACTTAAAACAGCAACAAAGGCTTGGCTACTATGATAAATAAGCAAAGGATGTTTATATGAAGTAACAGGTGTCTTAACCAACTTGAACAAAAACTGGTTACAAAATTCCCTTAGTGTATTACCTCTAAGTAAACACAGAACATTCTTTCCAGATAAATCAATCAATTCAGAGCAAAGTATGATCCCTGATGTGTACTGGTCTTCTGACATGCCGGTGGTCCTGTCTGCCCAGCTCCCACTCTACTGCCGCAGGAACTGCTGGCACTTGAGAGTTCATAGCCAGCACAAGGATTCACCTCCCACCTGAGGAGGCTGCCAGAAACTCAGCCTTCCCCAACGGAAAAGTTCCAGGATGACAGTAACTCCCGGGGTTCAGCAACTCAGGAGTTCAGCAACTCCCACCTTTCCCCCAGCCTTGAACACACGGAGTTGGAAGATAAGGGAACGTCTATTCAGGCCCCTATCCCCTCAATCTGAAAACAAAGCAGCACACTTTTGCCTATGGACACACCATCATCGCAGAGCAGTGCTCAATTAATGCTCAAGGGGTCTGAGTGTTGTTTCTCTCATCCTTTACCTGGATAGGACTCCATTGCTTCTGCCAGCTTCACTCCTTCAAACAAATAACTGGCAAAACAATGCAAGTCCAGAGAAAGCACTGTAAATTAACCACAGCTGATAAAGCCTTAGCTAAAATATGAATGGCTGACTATGAGGGTATCACCAAGTCCAAATATAGCAATTTTGGTCAAATGAAACATAAAACAGCTTTAAATTTAAAGTATTAGCAAACAGGGCTTACATATCAAAATTAGAAACTAAAGAGCCAGAATAAACAAATCTAGCAAGAATTAGCAAATACTGGTTTAAACTCAAAGATGTTTTGCAACTGTACAGATCATACCCAAGATGTATTTCATTCCTTGATGCACCCAATGATGGGCTGATAATCTACCATTCAGTACCCCAGTTTCCTCCAAGCACCTATCCTTGTAGAATTACTGAGTGTTTATGACACTTAAATACCTTCTATCCTGGCCTAAGCACTCGATGTTGGCCATTACTAGCTCTTCTGCTTTCCTACTAATTGAATTGCATCAGCTTACCAAGAACTAGGCTTTTCCCCCAAATTTTGCCAGTTGCATTAGTTTTATAATTATTGAGAATTAGTGATGAAATGAGGGCAAAAAGGAATTATCAAAAAAGACTTTGCAAAGATTAAAGGTAGGTTATTATTAAAAACTGCTATCAAATTAAATATGGATGAGACTACTGTAAAAAGGAAATTTAAAAATCCAGAAAGAGCCTGCAAGTGTTCAAAGTTCAATTAAAATTCTTTAAACAAAGTGAGACTGCGAATCAGATTTCATCTTTTGTTTTACTCAAAAAGGAAGCTTACCAAATATCTATGGTATTCCAAGGCTTTGGCCTATATATTGAGATTGGCAAGTGTAAGTTTTTAAGTTAAAATAAAAAATGCTTGAGGTATAAAAGCATATGTCTTGCATCAAGGGAAAAGTAAACTGTAACTACTGTTTCTGACTGCAGAGTTGGAGGCTTCTTTTCCTGGTCACTAGGTGTGGGGTTACGGACAATCTAGTTTTTATTGCCTGGGTGAAATTCTTATTATTTTTTTTTTAAATATAATTTCTTGTCAAGTTAGCTAACATACAGTGTATATAGTGTGCTCTTGACTTCGAGAGTAGATTCCCATGATTCATTACTTACATACAACAACCGGTGCTCATCCCAACAAGTGCCCTCCTCAATGCCCCTCACCCATTCTCCCTCTCCCCATCCCCCCATCAACCCTGTTTGTTCTCTGTATTTAAGAGTTTCTTATGGTTTGACTCCCTCAGTTTGTAACTTTTTTTCCTTTCCTTTTCTTCCCTGTTAAGTTTCTCAAATTCCACATATGAGTGAGAACATGTATCTGTTTTTCTCTGACTTATTTCACTTAGCATAGTTCCATCCATGTTGTTGCAAATGGCAAGATTTCATTCTTTTTCATTGCCGAGTAGGTTGGATGAAATTCTTAACTACCCAATTCCAACTTCCTTGATTACCTTCATAATGGGACACGACACTGCAGGGGCTTGCTAACTGGAAAACTACATTCTTATTTATTTAGTAAACAAGGAATTTCAAAACCATCAATATTCATAATGTTGGAGTCCTGAAAAAATGAAATTCAGTGTCATATATCTAGGTCAATGATAATTCCCATCTGTGCCAAGATAGTATTTAAGAGATAAATTATATAAGATTAATAATGTTGAATACCCATTAGTATAGTCTGTGCCTGCTTTTCTGAACACTTATGCTTCTAATTGAAATCAAATCTTTAATCTGCAGTCTACAGGACATAATTCACATATGACTGAACTTGTCTTCCAAAAGTCAGTGACAGGAAATATCTACCTGCTTCCACAGTTCCCTTCATAAATTACTTTTTCTAAAGCCTCATGAAAACAGATCTGTATGGTTTTGGACAAACAATTTAGCAGAAACTGAGACCTTATCGTGCAAGAATCCCCTGACATTTCAAAATGATTAAATTTGATCAAACCATTAACTTCAAATGTATCTTTCCAAAATAAATGAGTAATTAATACCTGTGGTATAGAATGATCAGCATCTAAACTACTAGTTTAAAACATTTGATAATGAGCCTTTGGTAATGAAACAGATTTGAAAACCAGTATGTTTCATTATGAATTTGCCTACTCATCTAGAGTACTTCATTCGAAGTTCAAGTGAGGTCAAGGCCACATTATGTTTGTTGTTTGTTTATGGAGTGGGGAGTGGTGGTGATTACCTAGCAGGGTAGAAGAAATGAATTTGAATAGCATAAGCAAAGACCATTAAAATCCCTACTACATGTTAGAAGAACTGTAAAGAACTGTATCACAAATCATTATTATTCCATATCCTCGGGGAGGGGGGGGAAGCCATCTAAACATTTCTACAACATCCCCAATCTACTAGATCTGTACTTTAGCATGCTTGGTAACGCTCTAAAAACATTATTTAGGTTATAAAATCTTAGTAAGGGGATACACCAATAGCTGACAAATCCAGACCTGGTTGTTCATAGGTTTTAAATTCCTTTTCAACTACCTTTGTAGGTATATTACATTTTGTGTATTCAACAAGATGACAGTCTGCCACATTAGTGACAAGGTGATGGAGAGGAAAGCAGGCATTCAACTTTCCAGATAGGCCAGAGCTGAGTCCAAAGGAAAGATTTATAAAAAGGTTAGTCAATCCACCAGGCTGCAGAATTAGACTTGAATCACAGTCAACCTCAAAGGCAGTGCTGTTGCCCACCTTCATATAAGCATTCCTGCTACTATACTATCTGACCTCAACCTTCCTTCCATGTGTATCCAACATTCAACATAAAACACCATTCACCTGTCATTGTTAAGAAGCCATTTCCCACACTTGTCTTTTTCGATTCCTAATGTTTTAAGCATTTGTTATATAAGTACTTCTCACTTTAAGTAGCAGTAGTGTAGTGATAATGGTCTACTTGGAACCAGCCCTGAGTCTTACTAGACAACATTTTGTCTATGAATTGGAACAATCTACAGTATAGATTCAAAACCCTACTATCACCTAGTAAGTCCTCCTCACTGGAGGTGTGTAAGAGCTTGTAAACTAAA